TGATTAGTCCTGAGTTCTCTTGTTGATTGCAGATTCATCTTTTTTTATATGAGCTACTTATTTGATTAGACTAATTTGTTCACGAGTCTTGTTAGCAAGGAGCTTTCATGAGGAATTTTGCTGCCTTCTGTTGTATGGGATTATTTTGTTTGGCTTATTTGGGCACATCTTTCCTAATGAGTTCCTTGCCATTGTGTGAAGTGTGATTACTGCTTGTGTGAAAACCTTTCTTCTCTTGACCTCTGTGAATTTAAAAAAAAAAAAAAACAATAAATTATTTTTGAATTTGGAATTCTAATGTAAAACTTTTAACAGAAGGCATTAAGACTTGGTGACCAGATGGCTTTTTCTGATCTTGGTGTATTTAAAACTGAGTTGTTTTGCTAAAAGAGCAAATCTTAGTTGCCAGTCTGAACTTTATTTGCATGTTTTGATCAGGAAATAAGCAAAAGGAAAGATCTAAAACTCTGTAAGAGACCTTTTAAAAATTCTGTCAGTGTTCCTAACCTGACGGTAAAGTTGACAAGATGTTTAATTCACTTGTGCAGAGTGTGGCTTCTTAAAAGTTGGTGTATGTTATGTTTGCATCATTGCTTGGGCTTTCATAAATAAAAATAATCTCATGCTGGAGTGTATCAACGTATGCAAAGATTTGATTTTGAGATATCTGCAACACAAAGTACAGCAGGAAAAATAATTTCTTTCATGAGAGCAAAAATAACTTTGTCTGGTTTGTTTTCTTTCAGAGCTTTCCGTGGTAAACACATCACACTGGTAGTTCGTTTTCCAAACCAAGGCCGACAGGTGGAAGATCTGGATATTTGGTCTCATACAAATGACACAATTGGCCAAGTACGGCGTTGTATTCTCAACCGTATTAAAGCCAATAGTGCGCACACAAAAGTAGAGCTGTTCATTGGTGGTGAGCTGGTGGACCCTGCAGATGATAGAAAATTGATTGGGCAGTTGAATCTCAAAGATAAAACGGTAGGTGTTGCAGGTTGATTATTCATGTCAAATCAGATGATGCTTCCCTTTTGTAAATGCTTGAAAAATACCATGCACGGGAGCACGTACTCCTGTGAAATAGTTCCATTCCTCCTCCTTGTGCTATGCCACAAACATTATATTAGATGCTTATTTAGTAAAGAATCTTCATTTTTGCATAGTATTAAAACTATGGTTGTATTTTTTCAGCTAATCACGGCTAAGCTTACCCAGATAAATTCTAATATGCCCTCGAGTCCAGATAGTTCTTCTGACTCTTCAACTGGTTCTCCTGGCAACCATGGCAATCACTACAGCGATGGTCCAAATCCAGAAGTTGAAAGCTGTTTGCCTGGAGTGGTAAGCATATACTTGGATTCTGAAATGAACAGTTTTTTTAAGCACTTCTTCACTCTACTTTGTCTTTAAGTAAGGATTTTAATGGGGTTTTTTTATTTGCTTATTTTAAGATCATGTCACTGCATCCTCGATACATCTCTTTTCTTTGGCAAGTTGCAGACTTGGGCAGTAGCCTAAATATGCCACCTCTTAGAGATGGAGCACGTGTTCTTATGAAGCTCATGCCACCAGGTATAACTTCATTTTATCCTGTTTTGTCTTGTAATATCCTGTATAATAATTTTTCACCTGTTATATAAAAATGAAGACAGGAGAGTATTTTCCACTTTCTGGTAATTTCATTAATACTGTAATTCATTACTGTTATCCTAATTAAGTTGTATGTATTTCCCAAATAGTTATTTCTTGTCTGTCATGGGAAGTTGTGTAGCTTGCAGTTCATCCTGGGGTTCAGTGCCACAGTGCAGTGAAAATGGGGAGAAGTATTGTATTTTGAAGTAGTTTTGTAGCATTGCTTTAATAGGATCACTACTGTACTGACAGAAGTAGTCATTGCAGAGCCCTTCATAGTCTGATCCTGTTTGTTAGTTACATGTTTTTGCAACTTTTCTGATACATTTAAGATTTTTCTGATCTATTGTTGTAAATACTAATGGCTTGTTCTGGAGTAGTTGTGTTATAAAATGTTCATAAGTTGCGTTTTTATTGCAGATAACACTACGGTTGAGAAGCTGAGAGCTATTTGCTTAGATCATGCAAAGCTTGGGGAAAGCAGCCTTAGTCCGTCCCTTGATTCTCTGTTCTTTGGTCCTTCTGCCTCACAAGTGCTCTATCTAACAGAGGTTTGTGATGCTCTATTTGTTCTTTAAAAAACTTCAAATCTTTTTGGCAGTCCTGTCTGTAACACTGTGGAAGCCTAAGATTAAATTTTTAATTGAAATTACCAATTGAAAGTACTTAACAATTTACTGGAATAAACTGGTGTATGGAAAATGCTGTCAAAGCATTGCTTACGTAGTATCTCAGTATAGTCTCACGTTCAATCATCTATATTCAAGCCAGTGTATTTCTGTTAGTTAACTCTGTATTTTGTTCTACAGGTAGTTTATGCCTTGTTAATGCCTGCCAGTGCACCTCTGGGAGAAGATGCCAGTGACTTCCAGTACAACTTCTTAAAAAGTGGTGGTTTGCCTCTTGTATTGAGCATGCTGACTAGAAATAACTTCCTGCCAAATGCAGATATGGAAACTCGAAGGGGTGCCTACCTTAATGCTCTAAAAATAGCCAAATTATTGCTAACAGCAATTGGATATGGCCATGTTAGAGCTGTGGCTGAAGCTTGTCAACCAGTTGTGGAAGGCACAAGTACAATTTCACCGGTAATATTTACAATATTTATAATAAAATAATGTCTTGATGCAAATAGCAGTGTACTCTGGCTTTTATACTGTCTGCAGCAGCATCTGTCTGCTCTCCATTGACAGTCTCTTTGAGTGAATTGCATGTCAAGAACTCGTACTTTCAGACAATGTTTTCTGACAATTCTGAAAAAAAGACATCAACTTACTAAACAAATCCTGTTTCTGACTGTAGGGAAGTTAGTGGAGATTCACCTTCTCTATATAGGACTTTCAATGGCTTGCATGATTGTCAGTACAGAACTTTCCATTTTCAAGTATATCTATTCCATGAATGTGAATTCTGATATTCTTTTGAGCTGTTGAGTCTATTGAAGGATGTGCCTCTGAGTTTCTCATATCTCCTATTTATGATTAGAACATAAAAGAACAGAACTGATGCTGTGTCATGCCAGCCCTTTTTCTACACAAAAATAAGTCCTTGGCTTGCTAGATTCCTAATTCTGACCATTGTTTGTAAAAATTCTTACAGAGAACAACTAGGTTCATTGCAAAGATAAGTGTTGATAGTTGAAAGGTATCCTGAGATTTCACAGAGTTGGAAAGGGAAAGTACAAATATAGGTGTTCTGAACTGGGATCTCATGTGTCTATAGTAGTAGATCTTGTGCATGTTTAATATGGCTAGTTAGTTTTTCTGTATCTGGACAAATATGTTATGGGTTAAGATTTTATTTCTGCCCTCTTCCAGTAGGTGTACGATGTTAAAATTTGCTGCTGTCCTTCTTGAACGTTTGCTTCTAGGTATTCCAGCTTTTTTTTTATTTTGTGAAGTTCTGTCCCAAATAGTTGCTTATCAGCCTCTACTCAAGAATACATGGAAGGCCTTACTTTAGAGCAGTTTCTTCCAGAATATTTAATAAGATCCACCTCTGAAGCAGCGAAGTACATTGCCCTTAAGTCTCAAAAATGAATACCTGCTCTGGTTAGCTCCTTTTCTTGGAAGATACCAGATTCCTTCTTTTTAAAGGAAATCAAAACTCTTGATGATTACAAAGAGACAAGGAACCCTTTTCACATCTCATTTTAGGATACAATAGAAACATCTATTACATTTGGAACACAGAGAACATCACTTGAATCTTGAAGTATTGTTTGAAACAGATTTACCCTGACCACATAGGACATGACAACATTTACCTATAACTACTGACTAACATTTGCTGTTAAGTGTTGCAGACATCTAACTTTATTATTAACTGATTTGTTGGAAGAACACAGTTATTCTTGCTGTCATCATTATCCTGTTTGAAGGACTTTGGTCTTAATACTTTTTATTGCTGCAGCACTACAGAATCACAGAATGATAGGGGTTGGAAGGAGTCTCTGAAGATCATCCAATACAACATCCCTGCCAGATCAGGATCACCTAGAGAAGATCACACAGGAACCTGTCCAGGCAGGTTTTGAATGTCTCCAGAGAAGGAGACTCCACAACCTCTCAGGACAGCCTGGTCCAGTGCTCTGTCACCCTCACAGTAAAAAAGTTTTTCCTCGTGTTTAAGTTGAATCTCCTTTGTACCAGTCTGTGACCATTGCCCCTTGTCTTGTTGCTGGACACAACCTGGAAGAGTCCGGTCCCATCTTCCTGACCCCTGCCCTTTAGATAGCGATAAGCATTAATGAGATCCTCCCTTAGTCTGCTCCTCTCCAGGCTAAACAAACCCAGTTCTCTCAGCTTTTCCTTATATGGTGAGACGTTCCAGTCCCCTCATCATCTTAGTGGCTCTACACTGGACTCTCTCCAGTAGTTCCTTGTCCTTCTTGAACTGGTGAGCCCAGAACTGGACACACATTCCAGATGTGGTCCCACTAGGGCAAAGTAGAGTGGAAGGGTAACCTCCCTCAACTTGCTGGCCACACTCTTCTTAATGCACCCCAGGATGCCATTGGCTGCCTTGGCTGTGAGGGCACTTTGCTGGCTCATGGTCAGTTGCTGTACATCAGGAACTCCAGGTCCTTTTCCTCTGAGCTGCTCTCCAGCAGGTCAGTCCCCATCCTGTACTGATTCATGGGGTTGTTTTTCCCCAGACACAGTGCTTTACACTTGCCTTTGTTGAATTTAATTGTGTTTCCCTGTCCAGCCTTCCAGCCTGTACAGGTCATGCAGCACAGCCTTCTGGTATCATCAGCAATAAGTTTACACCTTAGGATAGAGATTGGGTTTGTAAAAATCTTTCATCTTATCATATCTAAAGCATAAGTAGTGTAGCATAACTTTGTCTTGGCTTTTCATCAGTACTTGAGAGAATGAGGTAACCAAAACTATGCATCTGTTGTCTTCCAGTTACTGGTCTGCTGCTGTCACTTGGACTTCTTAAATTTATTATTTTTTTTAACTTGCTTTCATATAAAGTTGAATCAGTAACGTTGTTAAACATAGTATTCTGGTGCATAGGTCCTGATTTGCCCCTGTATATATTGTTTGATCCTTTTACAGCCTGCTTCTGATAGCTAACTGACTGCCAAAGGTCCATTACAGTCTTCAATGGGAGTTATGTATTTTGCTGTGTTTTTATATCATGTGTTAATGAAGCTGACAAAGCAAAGGGATATGACCAGCACCAGGTGTTACAGACCAACTTCACAGTGTCTTCTTAGCAGTATTTGAGACAGATTTTTTTGAATTAAATGGTGCTAGAAAACGAAGAAACTCCTTTGTACAAGAAGCTTACACTTCTAACCACAGCGCACACAGTCTTTTCAAGCAAGTTTGTCTATGAGAAGGGAACAGTCATTTCTAATTTGAAGTGTCAAATCTGTGGAGCTCTGTCAGCCAAAGGAGAAGGAACTCTCTGCTGAACCCAGTACAGAAAAGATAAAAACTTGTCTTGCTGCTGTTTTGGTTGTGAAAGAATGATCAAGAACAGGAGAGGGAATCTCGAACAGTTTTAACAGATTTAAACAGAAATAATTCTTCAGTAGTGCTCAAGCTCAAATGTTTAAAATGTACTTAACTAATGAATGCTGCAACCATGTTCTGTGTGAATGCTATTAGCTAATCCAGAGGGAGAGACCCATTGTTCTAGCAAACTCTTTCTTTCCTACATTAACAGAAGGGGGAGGCGGCATTGTAGTTCTGAATGTTCTGTTAATTCGAAATAGTCTGATCAATAAACAAACCCCCAAACATAAGTAGTTTTGAGCAAGTGCTGCTCCTCTTAACTGTTTGTACACTTCCAATCCTGCACTGTAGCACACAGAGTCTTCAGATGCGATGGTATCTATTTGAAAAAGGCAAGTTTTAGTTTTCTTTGTGTTTGCAGTTTCTCTAAGTAGTTTTCCTTCCAAGATCTTACGTATTTCTACCAAACTTTTCCAAGTAACTTTGTTTTTGTTATCTTCTTGCTTTACTTTTTCCCCATGCAAAATTAAGTATAAGAAATAACTTTCTTCCAGATAAACCAGGCTACGCATGACCAGGCAGTGGTGCTACAAAATGCCCTACAAAACATTCCTAATCCTACTTCAGAGTGCATGCTAAGAAATGTAGCAATACGTCTTGCACAGCAAATATCTGATGAGGTTAGTGAATTACTTTCTGTATCACCTTTTTTTCCTGTAGTATCTTTTTTTTATTTTCAATCCTTAAATTTGTTGCTTTGTAAGACATGGATTTTCCTTCCAAAATGTCATGAAGCTTTTTAGGTAATGTTCATATGGTTCATAAGCTGTTAACTAATTAGAAGTATTTAATGTATTGTTTCCGTATGCAATTCTGAAATTCAGTGTCTAATAGCAAAAAGCAGCTTAAGTGAAGTAGGCAGGTTCTGTACAAGCTCTTTAATGGATTGTGAATATTGTTACATTTAAATCATTATTTTTAAATGCCGGAAGGTGAAAGTCTTGCATTGCTGCCAGTGTATCTCAATATATTTAAAAAACATTAATGATGTGAGTGAAAAACTGGGTTGTAGAGGTTGGTAGTGTTAAACCATGTGCTTTGCAAATATAAGAAGTCTTATCTGTATTGTACTGTATGGTATGACCAAACCCCATTAGGATTTGGAATTATGAGTCATGTTAGTGAATACATCAGTGAATTCTGCTGAATTCAGCAGATGCTAAAATCAGAACTATTGCAACTTCCTCTTCCACAGTGAATTGGGATCCCTCAGTTTCCAGCGTGAAAGCAATGAATATTGTATTTCTATACTGTGCAGAATTTCTTCAAAGCTATCTCAAACAATTCTGAGCTATCCAAATAAAAGTAGTCTTGTATTGTCATCCTCATGTTGAAAAGCACACCATTTCTTCTGAACAAAGAGCAGCATCTAAAGAAAGACTGAACCATCTTCCTTCTGTTAATGGTGGTATTGCATCCACAGGTGATTGTATGTGTAAAATCAGCCAATTGAACTCTACTATCATTAACTTCCTTCCACAGAAGAAAGGTCTTTTGAGGCGAAATATGAAGAAAGGCTTTTAAATGTGCCTTTGTCCTTTTTGAAGGACTTCTTATAAATAGTTTTTCTTCCATGAGGCACATCAAAGCAAACAAAATCAAAATTTCTTTTACAAGAGTCTATACAATATTGCTGTTAATGTCTGTAGTATTCTGACATTATGAAAAGTACTGTAGATCTGTATTTCATATGTGTTGTAGTTTGCATTTGAAAGACTTACATATTTTAAACCCTGTGTAACTTGAATATAGAACTATCCCTTTAGATATTAATCACATACTTGGTAAGTGTTAGTTTGTGTTGCTGTCAGCTAGGACAGTAAACATCATGGGGAAGGACAAACACTAAAACAGTTTCAACTTCTTACATTAGGTAAGAGGTTACCTGCATTCCAGATGCATTCTTTGGTTTTTTTTTCCCCCTAAAACAACGTTTTAGCATTGAAGTTGGTGGTTTCTGCTAAAGCTTACTCAAAATCAAAGAGCAGCAAAAATTTGGCAAAAACATTCACTTTCTTGTTATTCCTGGTACTTGTAGCATTATGATGTAAGATTCTGTAATACATCTAAAATACATGCTACTTCCTATTAAAAGATGAAATGTTACACAAGTGAAGTACAGATGCTTTTCAAGATACCACATGTTTTTTCTCGAAGGACAAATTCTTCATTTAATTCTTTAAATTTCAGATTTTCTATAAAATTTGTGATAATTTAGAATACACAATGTTATTTGCAACTGCATTTTAATATTGCTCTGGTTTATTGCTCTCTTTTTTTATTATTTTTTCAGGCTTCAAAATACATCCCTGATATCTGTGTTATTAGGGCAGTACAAAAAATTGTTTGGGCATCAGGCTGTGGGTCAGTTCAGCTGGTTTTCAGCTCGAATGAGGAAATTAGTAAAATCTATGAAAAGGTAAGAATTCTAAGCTGCTGCTTTTCTATGTAACTGTTCATTTGTTTACAAGAGGGACATTGTTAACCAGGTCAGGCTTAGTGTGATAAGCTTTTAGCTTGTTATCTTGGCGATGGTAGATTTTAAAGTCTAGTATGATCTGTCAGATAGTTTTATTTTCTATTCCAGATTCCTTTTCTTGGTAGCTGTTTAACTAACTTGAATCTGGTGTCAGTTCTAAAATGCACCAGTTCCGTGAGCTGCTGTAGCATGTTTTCTTTCAGCCCAGTTAGGTTCCATATCTAAATAAGAAATAAGCACTTCTTTGCAGTGCTCATTATCTATTCTTTGAATTTAAAGGATCTGTTCTACAGAAGTTGAGTTTAAAGCATATGTGTAGTCTAGAATGAGAAACAAGAGCCAGTTGATCTGAAATTAGCACAGAAGTGCTGGTAAAGTGAAATAATTGCTAATCCTGTATGGCTTTTTTCCTTTTATTATGTAGACATACAGACCATCTTCATAGTTTCACGTGTGGTTTACACAAATAGTTTGAATTTCGTGGTTATGTATTAGTATGTTATCACGCACCTTGTGTTTAACAAATGTTGCTCACAGTTATGAGAAATTGTAATCTGTATTTTGACTGATTTTTTTTAAAAATATTTTTGTTTTCTGAATATCTTTACTTGTTCGCCGTAAAACCAAGTTTTGTATTCAAGTTTCCTGCTTACCCGAGAGTAACGGGGAAGGGAATATATAGGGAAGTTTTATTCTTGGTGTATTAACTATTGTGGTTAAATTATCAATTGGAGTACTTACTTCACCTTTCCATTTAGCTCATGTAGTGGTATAACAGCATCTGCTTCTATTGCTTGTGAGAATGACTTCATTAAAGAAGTTGGAGTCTTTTTGGTTGATGGGTTTGGTTTGTTGTTTGGGGTGTTTTCTGGGGGGATGGGAGGTGGGGTGATATAACCTGCATGGAAGAAGTCGTTTAGTTAGCATAACAGTCCAGGCACACGAAGATGTGCTCTTATATGTTTACATTTGATGCTTTAAGAGCAGTAGTGCACTAGAGAAAATAAAAATATAACTAAATATTTTTTCTGGCGTTTTTCTGTATGAAAACTTTAGAGTTAAGTTCTGTGAAAATATTTTCAAGCAATTGAAGTTTTAATGTAGGTGAAAATTGAGCTGTGCATTATCAATCCTTCAAAGCTTTTTTGCGTGGCTTGTTTTGTTGTTTGTTTTTTGGTTTTTTAGTTGACCATTATACGGACACTTGTAATAAATGGCAGCTGCATTTGGTTTATCCTAAGCAACAGGGAAATAAAAATTGAACGGAAAAATTGGAAATGAAAAAGAGGAGAAAATTGGAGAAGTAGTAAGGAGGAATAAAGTACACTTTGTTAAAATAACATTGGAGGAGAGGAAAGTATCACAGAAATGGAGGAATATGATGCAAGAAAGGACTTCTTTTTAAATTAAGAGAATTTTTTTTTATTGCAGATGAGAGAAAGTAACTCCTGTGGTGATTTTATAAAGATTGAATATACTGGTGACTGGCAAACACTGGCTTAGAGGAAAAAGTATTATAAGAAAAATGCTTTCCATTTTCTATGTTTGCTGTTAAGCCTTAGACTTTAACCTTATAGGTTGTAGGAGCATTTTGCTAAGTCTGTGGGGTAGAGATTCATCATTAAATGTTTAAGAACAAAAGCAGACTAATTTTTGTGGAATCAGGAATGACATATCAGGATTCCTAAAAACATCAAAGGCGACTGTGGTAAATCTTATTTTAAGAGGCACTCCAGGGTAGTCCTTTAAGTATGACTTCTGAAAGCATGTTCTGAGCACTTTAAGAAGCTTCTGAACGTAGCTGCTGAATTCAGTTAAACTTTAAAGTCAAGATAAATTACTTTGAGAGTGTAATTTTTATGGTACCTCTTCTGCTTCCTGCCTCAAAAAATTCTGGTGTGAGAGCCCTTGCAGTGGTTGACTAAGACTGTGTGTGACTCCAAGTCACTTTTCAAACTGCCATCTCCTCATTAGCTCAGAGAAGGCCCATTCCCATCTGAAATACTGCAAGTACGCTGCTTGTACAGACCCCTCAGTTCTTGGTGCCTGACTATAGGGAAGTGCTCAAAGCCAGGTTGGACGGGGCTTTGGACAACCTGGTCTAGTGGGAGGTGTCCCTGCCCATGGCAGGGGGTTGGACAGGGTGATCTTTAAGGGTCCCTTCCAACCCAAACCATTCTGTGATTCTATGATTCTGTAAGTACTTTGAGTATAAAACGTACTTTGCCTTTCTTCTGCATGGCTACACCTATGCATAAATGACTTTCTTTTCTAGACAGGACTTCAGTGCAGAGCAGGTGCAGTCCTGAACTTCTGTAGAGCATTCTGCTTTTACTTTCATATCTTCTGTCAGAATTACCACATCCTCCTGTTGCAGTGGTAGTGACTGTCTCTGATTTTTAGCTGTGGTGCAAAGACAAAATCGTGTCTGTTGCCAGACTGGGGCATATTTTTTCTCTTCTGCTGCTGTTTACATAATAGTTCTCTCTTCTGTATTGTAATCCTTTCTTTCTGCCTTCTTCATTTTGATAACCTTTCCATATATGACACAAATACTTATTCTGTGCCTCTGGTTAACGTTGCTAACCTGCAGCCATGATTACTGATGAATTAAGATAGAAACCTGTCCACGTTCAGTTTCTTCAGAACTTCTTCAAGCTGATTAGTTTTGGCTTAGATGGAGAGGGCTCCCTTTTTTTTTCTTCCAAAGTATTTGATTTGTGAAAGTGCACTAAAATTGAGTCACATGATTCACATGTTTTAATTGAGAGAATAACCTGTGTACTGGTGATAAATATTATCCTTGCATATTTCAAAAGTTACCACAGCAATTGTGTTTGAAACCTGATTCAGCGGTTTCATGTTTCTGAAAAATAGTGAAATGCTGAATAAATTCTAGCACTATTAAGAAGCTTTTGGTCAGTGAAGTTGTGAAGTATCAAAGCTTTGCAAAACTGGGCTTCTTGATGAGTTACACAGCACTACAGCCTTTCTCTGTTTAAATAGTGATTGTTGCCAAAGATTAAAACTCCAGGTTCTGAGTACTAATGAAGAGCATCTTATTTAAAAACAATAATAATTTTAAAAAAACAAAACCGAACAAACAATCTCCCCCCCCAAGCAAACAAAACCCAAATACAAACCGACAAAAAAACCCAACAGTACAAACTGATATAACTTCTGCCTACAAGCTTCCCATTTAACTGCTGGCCTCTTAAGTTCTACCTTTGAATCCTCCTTTGGGAAACACAGTACTGGAAGTTCAGCGCTTTGAATCACATCTGAGTGGGGTGCATTAAATGCTTGGCACTGATAGTCACTTCATATACAAATCTGTGGTTTGTGTTTTGTATTTAGTGTGTATACCTTAGAGCCAGTTGGGTTTCGTGGGACTTTGTTCTGTACCCACTTTGTGCTCTCTTGTTTATTTTCACAGACAAATGCAGGAAATGAACCAGACATGGAAGATGAACAAGTTTGCTGTGAAGCATTGGAGGTGATGACCCTGTGTTTCGCGTTGATTCCAACGGCACTGGATGCACTCAGTAAAGAGAAGGCGTGGCAGACGTTTATCATTGATTTGCTACTGCACTGTCACAGCAAGTACGTTTTGGTGGTGCTTTGGGTTTTTTATCACATACATTATTTTAAAATTCAAAGTATAAAGCCTGAACACAGAGCAGTGACTTCTTATTTGTTTTTTCTGTAGTTGTCCTCATTGTTTAGCAATATAATTCTGTAATTTGGATAGCTAAAGTGGTAACTGTATCAGTCTTACCTCCTTTGTACTCATAAGGAGGATATTGTCAAGCCAGATGAATGTCTGATAATGTGCTCCTGATGGCTTTAGAACAACTTACTAAGAATAAAAAAATAGGTCCTTTGTTTTTCAGAAATTATGTTGATACTTGCTACATTAGAATATTTAAGAAAATTAGTGAAGTCATCTAAGCCTTTCAGTACCTCTTAAATGAAGTCAGATTGTGGCTCTCTGAGATGATTGAGGTCAGAATTTCAGCACCATGTTTTGGGTTTCCTAGTTTGCTAGCTAAAACATGTTGAAAAGTCTTACATTCGGGAATATTCACTATAACAAAAGAGTCAATAGTATCATCAGAGTATCTCTTTACAATGAACTACTTGCACACAGTGGTGAAGCTGTGGAGTGTTATTATCAGAATCCCACAAGCTTTATTAGTTTGCAACCTGTGATACAGGATGCTGAATTTTCAGCTTCACTGAAGCTTGTTATTATCACTTTAAGTTCAACAAAACATGCTGACAAATGTATGTTGCAATTTTACACACTAAACAAAACAAGCTGTCTATCACTATTTTTGGTAACTTTCAAGGCTGATGAGTAAGATATCACTAAATTTTATTTTTAAAACTGTCGACAGTTGATACGAAGTTACTATTTTGACAGTAAGTGTATGTTGGCCGCATGTCAGATTTGGAGTACCAGTACAGCTGAATAGCATGGGCAAGTGTTAGTGTTTTCCCATCCTTTGATTTAAAAAAAAATAAAATAAAATTTAAAAAATTATATGGATCCAAAGATTTGTCAGGTTTGTGGCTTTTTTATGTGATCTTAATTGTACAAATACAAATAATGGATGATAGTTTCTGTAATAAATTTCACTGTAATTACTTGATTTTTCTGGCATTTTGCTTTGGAATGAGTCCATTTAACTGTTAATTGATTACAAAAAATTATTAGTCTGCTTTGTTTCACATTTACAACACAAAGTAAAATATTGAAATAGTTACTTGCAAGATAGCAAAGTTCTGTTTTTATAAACGAATAGTGCCTATGACAAACCTACACCAAAGAGGGCTTGTTCACACTAAAAATTTGAAAACTGCAGATTTTCTTTGAGGATTTTTCTGTTCTGGTTGTGTTTCCCAAAGAAAGTGAATTATTGGTTCAAATCGGGAACTTGTATATCTGTATCTAAATCTATCCTGAACAGCTTAGTCTGAGTTTCATTGTGCAGGTTCTATCTAACACAGTTTGTGATGGAGGTAGATGGTCTTTTTAGCAAAACCTACAGTCTTGATTTACAGATGGGAGTATCTGCAGTGGTTCTACCAGTCTATTCCAGTGGTTACTCCTCTTGCTGCTTTGAGCTTTGTTGACTGAATTTGAATCCCAACTATTGCACATTGTTACACCTAGTGAATAGTTGACTGTTGGACTTCTCTTGCTATTGGAAGAAACTACATGTGTCCCCAGCTGGGGCTTCTCTTGCCACATGTTTTGTTGGCATGTCAGCCCAAGGCTGAACAGCAGTGGCTTAATTCCCCATGTATGTTAGCTTTTTTGCCCTTTAAAAATAAGAGTAGCATTAATGGATGGGGTTTGCTTGGGTTTTTTTTGTCAGAGGGGATGATTTTTTTTTTAAGGGCTTCTCTTACCCAAATGGACTGCTGCTCAGCTCCTTATCTCTGCTTTCTTTCCCCACTAGAATGGGAAGTGAGATGAATTTGTTGTAGGGA